ATGTACGTTTTATTGGTTCATCTTGTATATTCGTATTTTCTTTTTCGACTTTGAATTGTATATTTTTCACATAAACCTTGCAATATCGTGGGAATTAAAAAATGCGGTATGAATTATGGTTGATATGTAAAATGTGTAACATTATTCACAAATATTTTAATCAATATTCACAAACGTTAAAGAAATTTTAATGAATAATAATTTTAAAAAGACTAGAACATAACATTGTGCGCGTGTAATTTAGCCTTATAAATATCATATTATATATTGTTCAATATAAATATTATATACTTTAAAAGTAAAATACAATCGGTTACGGATTTACTGATTGACTAAGAAAATATATTGTAATTTATCCATTTCTAAGATCGTGACTTATTCGGAGCTCATGAATTCAGTAGATAAATAAATAAATAAATACTTTTACCAAATAATATTTAATATTTTTTGATTATGTAATAAAATTTTCTTTCTTTTTTCCGAAATAAAAATTATTTTTATTATATATGAAATAAATGAAAATACCTTTATTTTATTCAGTTATTAATTTTATTGTTTTGTAAACATATTAATTACTTATTATCTATTTTTTTTTACGTTTTTAATAATGTTAATCGACGTATTTCATTTTAGATGCTGATAATTTGACAAAATTTTTCGTCTACTTTTCTTCATCAAACAAGATATGCATGATAGATACATCTACAAAACGGATGTTAACAGATCGACCTATTGAATATTCATATCAAACGAATGGACCAACTATTCTAGATTAATTAACGCGTTTCTTTTTTCTCAATTTTCTTTTACACTCGTTGATAATTTTCCGACAATTATTCTTAAGACTCGTTTTTCGGCATACAGTAATGTTGGCGGCTGTAATAATCCTGGCCATCTTCATTGTGACACCACGTTCCATCTGGAAAGTATGGGTCCATATTAAAGCTGATCATTTCGAAGCGTAATGCGTAAAGAGTTGGTGAATCTTTTTTACGGCAGTGCATAGTACAGGCTTTCCACGGTTCCGCGACATTATGAAGGACCTGACCTCCCGGCCCACTTTCCAGTTCAATACTGAATTCATCCTTTAGATAGTCGTTGATTTTAATGCATTTATCGGTAGTTAACTGGGAGGTTGTCGTGCGATTTTCAGTGCAAAGCATTGAGTCATCGCACAGAACCACGTCGTAATATGGTCCTTCGCAACTCGCCGTTCTGCGAATTCCATGTTTGCAAGAACGTCGTCTGACTTTTACGCCTTTAGATTTCTCTAAGCAACTACTTCGACAGGGGCTTTCTTTCCATTCACTCCAGTTATCATCTTCACAATAATCGAGAGGCGGTTGCAGATCGGGCACGCATTCTCCACCGCGACATTCTTTCTCGGGTGCGCAATAAGTGCCTAAAAAAATGAGATTAATTAAGCTGTAAGGTATTTAAGAGATCAGTAAGATAATGTACCTTCCAACGCTGATCCGATGAAGTTATGCCCATCCCGGTGTGGCGTTTCACACTGCAAAGTTTTACATATATCAAGCAACGAGACGACGTTCGCATTCTTGTCGCGAAAATGTATTTCACATTGTGCTTTGGCGCACCATTGTCTTCCGGGTAAATTTTTATACCGCGTATGGTCATATGCGTCTTCGAGATTTTTCGTACGATCTCGAAGGCACTCTTTTATTTCCCAGAGTCCTTCAGCTATATTACGACTGCACTCGGACCATGTTACTTGACCTTGACGGGATTTTTCAAATGACATTATGTACTTGTTTGGATCACATGGTTTTGTATAATCGGAATCGTGTCCCATTCCTAAACTTTAAAACAAAGAAATTATTAATTTTGCTTTACTTAGTAATGATTATTGTAAATATTTTTATATTAAAATTTATTAATAACTTACATACAGAATAATTAAAGGAACAAATCTCTTAAAAGGGTTTGTTTACTATTTGCTTTTAAATTAAACAATTCAATAAATTTTTTTGAAACATATTTATACTTAATTTACATTAAAACTATTATATAGAACTAGTAAAAACTATCATATAAAAACTTACACATGACCGATCTCATGAGCAGCAATGAGAGATGATGAAAAACTCGAGGATATTGCATCCGCAATACCAAATTCTATTACCACACACGATTCAGGGAATTCGAGCACACTATTTTTGGATATACCTAGGGTACTATTTTTGACTACACCTTGCTCGGTATAATAAAGATTTATTCCGGTTAAATAAAAACTAACGTCCCAGTGATTCGGTTCATTGTTGTCCGTAGGATTAAAAGTTTCCGTGTAATTGCAGAACGAATACAATAGTTTCTGATCGTCGCCGCCGTAAACTGGCAAATTTGACGGTTGTTTATTCATAATTTTTAAATATACCAACGAAATATCGATAGAAACTCTCAAACTAGGATGATGAAACACAGCTTGTACATTATTTACATACGCTAATATCATCATGCGCAACATTTCTTTATTTCCGTCCAGAAAAGGCATGAACGTACGATATGCGGCTTCGTCGAGAAAAACAGCCAATTCTATAGTTAATTTTTTTTCCGTATTTCTTACATGATGTCGATTTAGTTTAAAATTATCAAATTTACGAAAACTTGAATCAGCAGATATTTGCAATGATTTTTTAATTTGGTGAGGTTTGCCAAATGAAATATTAATTTCTTTTTTAATGCAAAGATCGTTGATTGAGGACGAAGACGCAAAGTCATGCCGCAAAGGTTTAATTTCCAACGTTTTATCTTTCAGAAAATCGAATCCTTCCTACTTTCGAAAAAAATACGTTAATGTTCTTACGTGTTCATGCTTATATTTACAGCAAAGACAATTTGAGATTGAAAGTAAAAACTACTTGTTTTTTATATAGTATTACTGACCCATCCATGTTTTTGACAAAAATTTATGGCCGCTGTGCTGACATGATCTTTGTGAAAATAATAGCAAGGATCTGATGCGTTTAATAGCGACAATTCTTCTGTGATGCCTTTTGCGTCATGTTTTCATACTTTAAACAAGGACGATACAATTTGGTCGTTTCTACGCAGGTTTAGCTGAATTTATGTTCCAAAAACTTTCAGAGTTAGTGGTATCTGCAAATTGAATAACAATAAATAAAAAACTTAATCATTTTCGAATAATATTTATTTGAAACGTTGAGCAATGAATAAAGCAGTACAATAAAACTCATATATTTATTCCGCACTTGTCAAATTCAGTGCCGGCAGTAATATTGTTTCTCTCGTTTTTCAATTTTGAGTACTTAAAAATGTTTAAGGAACGTCATCTTATACATATATCCAACTACTTATTATATACATACATATGTTATACTACTCTCATGTTCGTTGTATCTTCTGATCGCGTATAGAATACAAACTGTCTAGGTGGGAATAAAATTCGTGTCGTGTGACATTTATTGTATATACCATATACCTCCTCTGTAACATATACAGGGTGTCCTAATAAAATATATACATTTAACAAGTTAACGTCTATCTATTTTATTTGTAAAAACATATGGGAGTAAAATGAATATACATTTTATTGGGACACCCTATACACATATCTTTTTCTTTCAGTTCTGATTTGTATATTTCACATATAATATTTGC